CCCAGCTATGAACTTGGTAAGGCTCTAACTAGAAGGGAAAACTCTGTTCATCATCGTGATACATAAAAATGCTTCTAAATGTTTCCTTAATTAAGTGTGTTCGTCTGTTTTAGTAATTAATATGTGTCTGTTGACTCCAAAATGTGAAGTTCAAAAAGGGAAATCCAAAAGCAATTCTGGAAAACAAGCATACGAGAGGAATAAATTCAGGTCCCTAAGGAAAGGGGAGCTGTTTCTGCAACCTCTTTGCATGAGTTATCCATTCACATTGCTGGGACTATGTACAGAAGGATAGCAGCTTGGGGCTTATTAGACAACGGGAGCGTCAGAATTTCTGTTGCTACGTATTGCAGGATTCTGTTGCTTGTGTTTTAATGTCCTTGTGTGGCAGCTTGTGTTTTTTGTATTTGGGCATAACCTCTCTCTGTCTCAACATTTCAACTTGAAATGGATTTTGCAGGTCCCTTGTCAAATGCTAGATGTTTGAATACAGGAAGGGCTAGAGAAAAATTGACACACGTGACAGCTGATTAGCAAGATTGCTCTGAATCTGTATTACATCTTGCTCTTCATTGGTCAGAATTATCTAATGTGTCGGGATCTAGCCAATAGGGTACCAAACTGAGAGTCGGGAAACATTCTGATCCCAGCTCCTGGGTGAATCCCGTCACTTCTTGGTGTCTTTCCCCATCTGTAAAAGAGGATAATGGCATTTAGTCGCCTTTGGAAAAGCACTTCTGGTATGTCTCTACAGCGTTTTGGAGCAGGCCACCCAGCTGAGTCAATAGACTTGGGCTAGAAGAGATCACCTTCGTGCTCTGACGGCACATGAACGCTACAGAGAAGATCGAGGCTCCAGAGGTTGATCTTCTAGTGTTGGATTTAGCGGGTCTAGTGTACACCCTAAATCGAATGTTGAGGGCAGCCCCCGCTGCTGTCCAATACTCCTCAATCTGCGAGGAGGAAGGGAAGCCAATGCGAGTGTGCGCTCCCGTTGGCCTCTCGGAGTATGGTCGGGGATTTCAGGTGCCTCAACTCCAGCTAAACAATTAACATAGCTGGAGTTGTGTATCTTTGGTCAACCTTCCCCTCCAGTGGAGACCAGGCCTACAATAGCAGTAGTGTCTGGATGCACTAATACACAGTAGACCCTTTTGGCACACAGTGGTTGCTAGCACAATTCCTTGAAATCCCCCAGCTTTTCAATGAAATGTCAAGTGCTGAGGAGACGCCAATAGTCAACATTCTCTTTATTTACATCACTCTTGTCCCGTGCTTGAAACACAGGCTTTAGAGCCATTCCTCTTGCAGTAGCATTAGTTTTCTTACATACTCATATGCCGTCAATCAGCTCTGATTGACATTTACTGAAACCGAACACAAATGACTGAAATAATGTTTGATGATTCGTATAGAATCGGGTCTCCCAGCATGCTGTCCTCTAGCAGCTAACCAAAAGAAAAGTACAGAGATCTGTGCCATTTTTTATACATGCTCATCCAACCATGGGCAAGTATTCCTTTAGTCCTTGTCAAGGTAATTAGCAGAATAGTTGCTAATGAAGCGAGAGCATGCCGGTGTCAGCTTTCTCTGAAACTTATGACGGTGTTTGTGCTTGTATGTGTTTGGACAGGAAAAGGAAAAGAAGTACATGCTTCCCCTGGACAACCTGAAAGTGCGGGATGTTGAGAAGAGCTTCATGTCTAGCAAGCATATTTTTGCCTTGTTTAACACAGAGCAAAGGTAAGAGAAGGCACCAACCAGTGCATGGCCGACAGAGCTGAGAAGATGTACAAGTTCATGACAATGGCTGCCAAATTGGGGCTCCCATAACATGAGACTTTAACCATCTTACATGCTTTCAGCTCATTTCTTTCTGTGCGATTGCTTTAATGCTGGGTCTTGGCCCCTTACATCCTTCTCACGGTTCGTGGTGTGGACCAAACCTGTGCTGAGTAATTTTGTTCCTTAGGATGAGTGTTTGATTCCCTCCCTATCCTATTGGTATGTGTTTCTGGACCTTCTCCAAGGTTTACTGGAGACAATTCCTCCAGCGAACATCTGTGACTTTTGTCCTTTATAGGCCAGATCCTGGCTGAAATTGGCAAGCTCCATAGGCTTTAGTGGAGCCACACTTACCTACACCAGCTAAGGATTGGTCCCTCGGTTCTACAGCACCGATATATCCTCAGTCACGATAGGCGTGTTTTGCAAAACAGGCAAGAAATGAAAGAATGAGAGAGCTCTGTCTTCCTGATTCATTCAAACCTTAATTCGATAGCCACTTTCCTGGCCAGTCTGCAGCTTCTGAGTAAAGAGTATATGGAGATATGCTTCTGGAAAGCAGGACATTGTGATGAGTGCGTACAAACAGAAAGGAACATAGACTCACAGAACACGAGAGCTGGAAGGGACCTCCAGAGGTCAAGTCCAGTCTCCTGCCCTCACGGCAGGACCAAGCACTGTCTAGATCATCCCTGACAGGTGTCTGTCCAACCTGCCCTTAAATATCTCCAGTGATGGAGATTCCACAACCTCCCTGGGCAATTTATTCCAGTGTTTAACCATCCTGACAGTTAGGACATTTGTAAGGTGAACACTACAACACATACACAAAAGCAAACAGTGTGGCCTTTCTAAAGGGAGGAGTTGTGTTTGCAGTGGGTTCAGTGGAGCTCTAGCTTTCTATATTACCAGGAGTGTTGTGAGCAAGACACGAAAAGTCATTCTTCCGCTCTACTCTGCGCTGATTAGGCCTCAGTTGGAGTATTGTGTCCAATTCTGGGCACCACATTTCAAGAAAGATGTGGAGAAATTGGAGAGGGTCCAGAGAAGAGCAACAAGAATGATTAAAGGTCTAGAGAACATGACCTCTGAGGGAAGGCTGAAAGAATTGGGTTTGTTTAGTTTAGAAAAGAGAAGATTGAGGGGGGACATGATAGCAGTTTTCAGGTATCTAAAAGGGTGTCCTAAGGAGGAGGGAGAAAATTTGTTCATCTTGGCCTTTGAGGATAGAACGAGAAGCAATGGGCTTATACTGCAGCAAGGGAGGTTTAGGTTGGGCATTAGGAAAAAGTTCCTAACTGTCAGGATGGTCAGACACTGGAATAAATTGCCCAGGGAGGTTGTGGAATCTCCATCTCCGGAGATATTTAAGAGTAGGTTAGATAAATATCCATCAGGGATGGTCTAGACATTATTTTTTCCTGCCGTGAGGGCAGGGGACTGGACTCGATGACCTCTCGAGGTCCCTTCCAGTCCTAGTATTCTATGATTCTATAGATAAGCTGCTTTTGCCAGGATTCCTATTTTCAAAAAATCCGTTTAAGTAGTACCTGTAATATTGAATCTGAACGTCTTCACCTTACCCCATCCTCCAAAGCTTTGTGAGGTGCTGAAATGTCCTTCCAGCTAAGGACACTCTGTGGAATCAGTTGTTATTGCTCTTGAGCTGGCTAGAAGTGATCATGGGAGAGCAAAATGAGGCATTCTCTCCCTCTAGGGCTGTGCTGGCTATCTCTGAACCACTCCCAGCTGCTGGTCTCAGGAGTGAGAAACTAAGCTGGAGAGTCTCAGGCTTGAATGCCCTGTAAAGTCTTGTCTCCAGCTGGTAAGCAGTTGGGCTGGCTCGCCTGTTCGGAGTCTTTTCAAACAATGAGTCTCAAATAATCGCTAGGAGTGTTAGCTCAGACACTTGACCGGGTGCATTTCTAGGCCCCGGAGAAAGCTGGTTGTTCTGAAATACAAGGGAAGTGCTGTGTGGAAGCTGAAATGGACTTTAACTGTTTACACACAGCTTGGTCATTTGTCAATAACTTTTTGGTGACCGCTCCTTGTCAAGCGCACGGATTCTGGGCAGAATATTGGAATATATTTTTCAGGCAGGCATAACAATCAGCCTTGGGAAGGCAGGACTCAGGTAGCTTGGGACAATTCGCCTTTCTCATGAATATTTTGTGCTTTCTCAATATTCATGGGTGATTGGCTGAGAGAAACCAGAAAACTCAAATCCATTTCCCATCTCCGGTTCACAGACCGGGGGCGGATTGCTTTTTCACGTGTGTGCCTGCTCCTGTATCGTCGTGGAGACAGACGGTGGAGCGAGGGTTTCAGATTTGAGTCTCTAAAATCTGTCGGCACCCTGAGCTTTTGGCTGGGCCCCCTGCATTGTTACAATTAGCTTAAAAACATCCTGGGATATATATGGGCATGACTATGCAGGAAGAAGATGCTAGAATAATGTCGTCTAAGTAAATGCAGTTTGTAAACAGAATTCTCCGACAGGGAGGAAAGGGAATCCGTTTAGCAAACTGTATTTAAAGTGGCAGTTTCTTTGCTACCACGATGCAGCTGATTTGCCTTTGAGCCAACAAGGGAGATTTCTAGAAAAATCAAATGAAGTGTTGTGTTGGTTTAATACCTAATTCTGCCTCCTCCTAGGACCTGCACCCTGCAGTGGGAGGCGGGGGGGAGGGCTGAGGCTTTGATGAAGTGATCTAGTGTAGGAGTTTTCAGCTTGGGGGTCATGAGCATGTAGTGGGGCGGTGTCCACACCTGTCCCGGGTGGGAAGTCTTGCATGGAAGGGTGTAGAGTAGACCCACAGGTGCGACGGATCTCATTTTATTTTAAAATGCCTCGATTGTGAAACATTCATATGTGTGTTCTGTTTGGGAGCAATGTTAGCCGTGAGTGTCGGCATGCTTCGCTTTTTTATTAGTATAAAAGAAACTCCATTTCTCATCACGCCACTCATATGCTACCAACTGAGAGAGAAGTCCGATGTTTTTCCTGCAGAGGGTTTCTGTGCCTCCAAGGATCCCTGCATTTAAGATGCAGGTAACTTAAAGAAGAAGAGTAAAGCCATCTATGGAACATCCCAAAATGGCATGTGGGTCATTCTAAGCCCTGCTTTCCTCCTTAATCTCAAGCAGCGTTCCGGTTTTGTGCCTCGCTTCTGCACGTTTTCTCTGTGTGCATTTCAAACTATTTGAAATGTTAAGCAAAGCCTCCCTTTAGTCAAGAGCGTTTTCTTGCAGCGGGTTCTCCCCTTCCCAGCCTCTCGCTGCCAAGGTATTTCCTGTAGCCATATGTTTCTGATACTGTGCGTTTCAATAGCTTCCTGGATTATGCATACTGCATTTTTTCCATTTATGAAAACCTCCCCAGTTGTGAAATGCAGTTACAGAGGGAAATCCTGGTTTTGCTGCAAAGGATAGCCATGCTTGCATGAGGAGGCTGTCGAGAGATGAGGAAAGAAACGAAGGATTTCTGCCCCTCTGATTTACTGTAGCGGTCAGCAGCTCTCTGACAGACATCAGATGTGATTGGGTAATGAATGAAGACTATGGCAATTGATTTCACGGAGAAGATACATTCTCATGAATTGAAACATAATGGTGTGTGCACGACGAGCCTGTGCTGTAAAATCATGTATTTCAATTCCTTTTGGATTGCTTTCTAAATTCAAATGAAACTGCTGAAATGGAATAGGAGCGCCAGGCTTTGCTTATCTGAGTAACGTTGCTGAAACAGAAGGAGAAAGAAACTGGGGCTGTATTCCAGCAAACCAAATAGTTGTTAGAAGCTGTAGGGAGATACTGTGTATTTTAAACCTACATGCTACCGGTACTAAATCCCGCATGTCAGGACATATCCCTGCAGGTGCTCTCTTTGGATTTACCTCAGTAGAAGGGTTTGGGGCTGGAGCAAATTGTATTAGAGAAACTGCCATTCGACTCGCTCTGTCATTTCCACAATGGCCGATTGGCATCCTGTCACCAGCAGAGGTACTAAAGCCAAGGCCAGGATTTTCTGTCCAATCGTAGGCTCAGAAACAGGAGGTCCACATCCAACGGCTGCACTGATGACTCAGCCTGAGGCTCCTGGGCAAAGTTCAAGAACAAACAAAAAATAATAATTCTGTCTTTCCCAGAAAGTTTACTTTTCTTCTAGGATTTCAGCACAAATGCTTTGCCCCCTCCCCACCTATTTCCCGTAAAAGCTATTTGCTGATTGATATTTTTTTCTTGCGGGCAAGTACGTTAGCCAGGGATAAGCATTGTGGACGCAAATGTGCCTCCTTTTAGGAACTGTACAGCAGCACTTCGACCCTGCTCTGTGTGTGTGTGTGTGTGTGTGTGTACACACACACACACCCCGCCTTGGTAAACCCCACGCCGATTCATCCGATGAAATGGGTTTCAGCCACGGAAGCTTATGCCCTAATGAATATGTTCGTCTCTAAGGTACCACCGGGCTCCTTGTTGTTTTTGTGGAATTCCAGTTGGTGCAATTCAGTGCTTATTCTGTGCCGGGGCTAAGACTCTGCACCTCTGGGATTGGTGGTTCACAGTCTTGGTACCTCTGGGTTTGCCACGTCAGTTATGAAAGCAAAAAAAAAAAATTGCACTTACTTGCTTGAGCCCCTACACCTCTCTCATTACAAATTGCACGCTGGTGCTATGGCACTTAATTTGTGTCTGTGCCACCTTAACGTAACCCTTTGGGCCTTGTAAGAGAGAGGCAGAGCGTGATGGTTGACTCACTCTATTGGCAGGTATTCCAACCCTGTATTAAGCAGCTGCAATTTCTGCTGACTCCTTGTGGCAGGAGCAGTTTATTCGAACGCCTCCGAGGAGCTCAGCAGGGCTTTGAACACGGAGGAGTGTAAGGAATGCTGCCACCTCTCTTCTGCTGTAAGCAGGCGCGTTCCCCTCCGTGGCTTCCCCTGCATTCAGGGGCCATCAGCTGCCTCTGCTTTGCCTGCTGATAAAGGGAGAACGTGGAGCTATGGAGCCGGAGGAGGCTCTGTGACCGGCTGGCTGGAGAGGGGTTGATGGCTCCTGTCTTTCCCTGCCAGTAGAGGGAGCAGCCTCAGCACCGGATGGGGAGAAGAATTGTCTGGTGGGGAGTCCCTTATCTGTGTCCTCTTTCCCATAGCAAGCTCTGTGCTCCTGTTTGAGTCCCTCTCCCTGCCCAGGAGGCTCCCTCCATCTCTCCCTGCCCTCCAGGGGAAAATGGAGACTCCTGCCTGCCCTCCCGTACCAACCCTCCGGTAGAAACGGGACGATTTTTCAGCTGCCTCCCCCCTCGTGGCTGGCTGTGGTGGGGTTGTGTGGGTGGAGAGGAGAGTCTGGAGCACAAGGGCCGCTGGACAGACCCACCCACAGGGCCCAGGTAAAGGAGGGTCTGATGGAGTGACTGCCAGCCTGTGGGGGAGGCGGGCACTTCGGTCTGAGGCGTGGCGAGGAGCCGTCGTGGAGACAGTCTTGGCGCCGCCGAAAGGAAAACCGAAGTGATGCTTCGCCCAGGGGATGGGCAGAGCCATGTGCATTGTGGCCATGGGGCATTACGTGGGCCAGCCGAAGCGACGTGGCCTGAGAGGCCCGTGGGCGTGCCACGTGACGGCGGAGCAAGAAGAGGCCGTGTCGCCATGGCCCCACACTGGTGGGAGGGGGGGCTTGTTTGGAGATGGACAAGGGCAGATGGCAGAGCTTGTTCTGCGTCCTCCTCAGCCGTCCTTCCCCGCGGCGTAGGTGCAGGTAGACTGGCTCTGGGGAGGGGGCCGTCCTCACTCGTCATCTGGGAAGTTCTCTTCAGGAGACAGAGGGAACGTTTCCCAGACCCTGGGGGCCATGAACATCATTCAGGACCATGGCTCAGAAAGTGCCACAGGCTGGGTCTTCTGGAGGCAATGTGTGACTTGGGGAGTCGTGGCCTTTGGGCCCCTGGGCAATGTGAGGGGGCAGCTCCCTGCCCCCCAGAAGGGGCGTGGCCAGCTCTCAGCGCTGCCCAGACTGCAGCACAGTGGCAGTGTTGCATCAGGAGCCCCCACACTCCTTTGAGTTGTCGGGCCCCTTTGCCCCCCGCTCCCTGTTGGCGGGCCTGGTCCTCTGTGGGTTGCGAAGGAAGCCTAGAGTAGCTGTTCCTGGAGGGAAGCAAGGTACCAGGTGGCAAGTCTCTGGTGAGCCCCGCCCCGCTAGCAGGGATGGGAACCTTGAACCAAGTTCTTGCCTTTCTTCTGTCTGCCACCCCCCGAACCAGAAAGGGGATTATTGAGAGAGCACCCAAAAGGGAGCTCGGACAAAGGAGGTGTTGGGTGGAAGTCAAGCTCCGGGAACAAGCCTCAGCTGAGGTGTACGGTACTGCTTTTGATTTGCCAAAAAAGCGAAACCCCGGGCAGCGTGAGGGGCGAGCCGCCATCACCCCACGAGGGAGTGAGTGCATTCAAAACTTCCAGAGGAATTTTATCTAGAAACCAGTTCTTAGAGGTCTGTAAACGACAGCGAACTTCCAGAGTCCGTTCAGTGCAGTGAGGAAGAAATCCAATTGATCTGCTGAGCGTAAGCCCCGATTGCCGTTCAGTAACTTAGAGCTCTGCCTTATGTGTCCTTCCATTGATACCACCATGCAGGGGAAATAGTAGAACGCAGCTTTTGCAGGTAAGGGACACAGAGGTCTTAGGTCTGGCAACACAGAGCAAACAAAGCTTTTCAGAGGAAGAAGCAGCAACATTTCGTTCATCATCATCAATATTTGCTGTGTGTAGCTGCAAGGAAGCGTTTGTTCCCTCCCAAATTGTGGACTCTTACCAAAAAAGTAAGATCTTTTAGTGGTTTATATGGAGCAACCAAGTGTTTTTGCTTAGTTTGCAAAATATTGCTGAGTCAGTGAACTAAGCTGTGTGCTGGGGAAAAAGGTTCTCTGACCTATTGGAGGTAGGTGCAGCAATTGACAGTTGTTGATTTATTCAGTATTTCTTTAAAAAGAGCTATAAAGGCAGACTGGGCCCGGCTGGGTTTTACTGGTAAGTGTCAATTGTCCTGTTTACACCCAAACCAATGAAAAAAATACTCCCGTCAATAATCAAAATTCACAGAGAGGCAAGAGAAGAAAAATGCTGCTTGAAAACATACAAGAGCTTTGAGTTTAAGCTATTTATGTTGTGTATTTCGACATGTGCTGTTAAGATTTCTGTTTTACCAGTTAGAAAGCTTAAAGAATTTGAATCTCAACATCTACTGGCATTAAGATTTTTCTCCCTTCACCGCCCATCCCTCCATTTTCCCACAACTATGAGAGTTTAAGTAAATCAAAGTAAAAAAAATGCTTAAACCCCAATATTCTGCACAACTGAACATTTTACAATGGATAAACATTGAAAAAAATCCTAAACATTAGTATTATCTACCTAAATTATTTACAAAATTCTGCCACGCCCCTCTCTTGGGATGGTACCTAGGAAATAACTAAATGTACTCCAGTTTGATTGTACCCACCATTATACTAAGCACAGTGCTATTAGGTGGATCATGTTGTTTTCTGTTAATTATTAGTATTACTCTTCCGACACGTGTGCTTATAACTTCCTGTCCAGAAACAGTAGACTCTTAAAGGCTGATGTTATATCTAATGCTCTACTAATATTTTAGAATATTAATCTGAATAGTATACTTTCTCTCTGCTCATTTTCCCATTAGGATAATAGATTCATTAATTAAAAAGATTAATAGACTTCAATGGGTCAACTCACGTGAGTTTGATTTGTAGAGTGAAGCTCTTAATCACGTTTCTTTCCTAGCATTGTCTCAGAGATGTTCTGTTTGGTTCTTCTGGAAAAAAGGAAAAGGAAAACTTTTCAGAGGCATGTGTCATTAATTTTAATTAACACACACACACGGGAGTGAACTGAAATGGCACGCCTTGGCTGAAAATGTTAGTCACGCATTGCTGCTAACGCACAGCAGATGGATGGCTTCATAAAGAAAATATTTGCAGAGCCCTAACTTCATCACGTTTATTATTTCTTTGCTTTAAAATAAAAAATTGGCTGCCTTTGTTTAAAAGAGCGGGTGTCATGGCATTTCAGGTGTGTATAACAGTATGCCAAAGCACGCTCCAAAATTAGTGTATTGTATCTAGCTTCCTTAGAGTTGAGTTAATATCTAAAATACTAGTCCTGAATGTGTACATTTTTCGAATGTTTAGACCCCTGTTATTTTTACATGGCAGTATATTAAACTCATGTTATGTATGCATTTTGTGGTAATTTTCAACCAAATTGAAAATACATAATATATGCAACGTTTTAGTTTTTCAACTTCACAAAAATTTGGATCCGTCCACATTCAACTTTTAAGATTAATTCTACTCAGTTTCAATTAATAGAAAAAGACTCAAAAAGCCACAAAATAATTTCAGAGGGCAAACATTCTTGTTTTAGGACCCAATCCTCGATCACATGGAGTTGTCTGAGAGTAGTTTGACTTCAGTGGGATTGTTCAGATTAGTAGGATACAGGACTAGTGGGATTTTTGTGTTTGGCTGGGTTTTTTCCCCCCAAATCAGGGCCTTAGTGGTTTATGAACGCAGTACTGCAT